ACCACAGAGAGAGATGTACAGCCTTCCTGAAGCTCCCCAGTGGCACTTCTTCAGCAAACGATTCAGTAGAAAATGAGCATCTAGGAGTAGCCTCAGCGACTCCTCGCTACTCGTAGTCCACCCGCTATCGGCATTTCTTAGATACAGGAGTAGGATTTTTGCTAGAATGCATCTAAACCTTGAGGACTCGTGACAACCCTCTACACGCCGCAGAAGGCTCCACGAAGCCCTCTTGGCTTTCTTCAGTCGGACAAAATGGCCAATCCCGGCTTGTCAACGCCCAGTCGTCGCTAGAGCCACTTTTACGGGCTTTGTTGAAGAGTCTTCTACTCGAAGATCTGATCTCGTTAGCTCCGAAGTCCACCAAGGGGTTTCCTTTACTTTTCTGAGTTTTCAGAGGACAGGAGCTTTCAAGAGTAGATATGCTAACAGAGCTGAAAACCTCGACGAGCTCCTCAATCGCGTCCGCAGATAGGATCGAATCCCTGTCAGGCACGGTTGGAAGAGCTGATCGAAGCTTCCTGCAAAACACCACAATGACCCGAGTTCTGTAGGCTCTATGCTTCGGGCGCGAGCGTCTTTATGATCAGAAAAGGAGTGGTCGTCTAGAATCTCTATTCGAGATCAAGGAGCAATTTCCCTAGAGGCTAGCGTGACGTCAAGGACTTCCGCCTTGCTAGCTGTCTCAAAAGTAGGCAGTTTCCCTATTACAGAAAAAACTACATCGCAAATAAAATCAAAAAGTGACTCACCTCTTGCGTTTGTGTCCGAGCTCCCAGACGGTGTGCCGAGTTGGCATCCGAGCCTATTATAACCGCGACTCCTTTGCGCCTGGCCTCTGTCAGAGCCATCCAGCAAGTTAGGTGGTTTCACCTCGTCGTCGTGCGGCATAGGCTGAGTCATCACCTGACGATCCGCCCTCCGTGCTCACCGCGTCCGAGAAGAGAGGGTCGACATCCATTTTCGGAGGGGAACTTTCCCACTCCCTTCCGCCCCGCAGGAGGCAGCTGGCCATCCGCCCTGGCTTCTGTTGGAGCGTCTTGAGAACGACCCTCCTCAAGCCATAGCTTATGGCCCCCTTTGTGACACTGAGAGGAGCGAGGGACTCCTTGTTTAGGAGTATCAGCGCTTGCCGATATGGTGCCTCGGTCCTCTTCAGCCTGATCACCCTCCAGTCTTGGGTGGGGAGAGATGGGTTGCAGTACCGCAACATCTCTTCAATTTCGGCCGGGGTGGAAGGTTCGGCCGGAAACCAGACCCGAGCCCGAGGTCGCATCGGGAGATCCGTTTTGGCCACCGCCTCGAGCCTTGCTCCTTTCCACACCTCCCCTACTCTGGCTACCGCCTCCTTATAAAGGAGAGCCGACCGTTCGTCGGCATACCTAATCAGTTTGTGAATGCCGAGGTTCCACCCGGCGCTTTCACATCTAGGGGGGTGGTCCAGGGCTTCCCCTGACCACCTTCATGAAAACAGCGGAGATAGCAGCCGCTACCCGCTTCCACTCGTCATGAGAGATGGCTCCATCTCCCCTGCTTCGGTCGTTCACCCCAAGCTCCTCTGAGCTTGCGAGTTTAGCGATTTCGCTAGACATAGGTGCGGGTCTGACCCGAGGTTTTTTGCCGAGGGAGGATTCCCCCACCTGCGATCTCTGCCGCTTTATTGAGGTATGGGGCCCGTTCGGCCCCACTTATTAAGTAGCCAAGTCACAGAAAAAATTAATTCCTTCACAACTCAAGTTGTAAATATTTCGAACGAATATTTAAATAATCAACTCAAAAAATTCTGGGAAGTAGAAGAATAACCCCAGATCACACAACCTTCAGAAGAGAACCTGGCATGCGAAGCCTATTACAAGTCCACAACAACAAGAAACGAACATGGTCGTTATGTTGTGCGACTCCCATTCAAGCCCACCTTTCCAGAAACTATAGTTTTAGGCTACTCTAGAATATCAGCAGTCCAGCAATTCCTAAGCTTGGAAAAAAGTTTGATAAAGAAAAACGAGCTTAAATCAGCATATGATAACGTGATGTATGAATATCTTAACCTCAATCATATGGAAGAAGCTGTACCATATGAAAAAATATCTAACAGTATATATATATCTATTATTACGTGGTAATAAGACCAGATAAAATCACAACAAAGGTACGAGTGGTTTTTAATGCTTCAAAGTGTACAAGCTCAGGCAAATCACTCAATGATGTTTTATACACAGGGTCAACATTACAACCTGATCTCATGCTGCTAATACTAAATTGGCGCATGTTTAAATATGTTTTCAATGGAGATGTAGAAAAAATGTATAGGCAAATTTTAGTACATAAAGATGACCAAGATTTCCAGCGGATAGTCTTCCGAAAATCAAGTAATAGTTCAATCAGCAACTTCAAACTTAAAACAGTTAGCTTTGGCATCAATTGTGCACCCTATTTAGCCATTAGAACATTACATGAAGTGGCAAAAACCTGTCAAACAAATTGGCTTTAGTAACTTCTGTGCTACAAAAACAAACATAAGTCAACGATATTCTATCAGGTAGCCACAGTCTCTCATTATCGTGCAAATCACTATCTCAGATGATGATCTCGTAGCAAGATGGCACTGAATGGGATGAGCAAGTAAAACCCACACGTTTAACAAAGTGGGTTCAATTTGCTAACAATCTACATACCATCTCAGAAATTCGAATTCCTCAATGGGTAAATTTCGCACCTAACTATAATGTAAAACTACGTGGCTTCTGTTTTGCGTCTGAAAAGGCCTATTGTGCAACAGTTTACGTACGCTCTAAATATGAAAACAAAATATCTTCACGTCTTTTGGTAGCCAAAGCCAAAGTTGCTCCCCTGAAGACACTAAGCCTGCCACGGCTCGAACTGAATGGTGCACTTCTGTTAGCAAAACTAGTTTCAATTGTACAAACCCATCTGAATCTAACCAATCACAAAATGTACCTTAGGTCAGACTCAGAAATAGTTTTAGCATGGTTGGAAAACCACCATATACCTGGAAGACTTTTGTATCTAACCGTATATCTCAAATATCAGACTTAGTTGGCCCAGCACAATGGCAACATGTTACAAGTGCAGATAAACTAGCGGATCTTGGGACAAGAGACTGCAAACCACTTCATCTCACCAGTACTACACTCTGGTGGAACGGTCCTACGTGGTTAACACAATCACAAGAAGTTTGGCCCAAGTCAGATATCTGCTATGCCTACCGTATTTTATACTATAAAGATATTCCAACTTCAACAAATATTTTATTTTAAAAGTCTATATATGTTAATTTTTTTTGTAATGAGTTATAATAAAATATTGTACATATTTTTATCGGTAAAAGCTGATATATAAAACGTAAATAAACTTTGTGATTTAACAAATCTATACCTTAAACCATACCTAGAGAAAATATCGGCTAAGTAACTTTCCTAATATTTATATAATATATACAATGATAAATTTTGCTTTATTGTTTAAATGAATTATTATGACTTGTATGACAATAATAAGTTATGCTTTATTGATTTTATGAATTATTATGACTTATAATATCAAATTTTTATGCAATGGTTGGTTTATACAAAATCATCAAGTTCGAACGCAGAGTTCCAACAAAACGACTGGAACATTAACTGATGATATTGGTCTACTTATTTCTTTAAACAAGCTAGATTGTAAAAACTGGCATTTTAAAGACGAACTCTCAAAAATGGAAGAGTCATTACAACGGCTTGTACTACCAATGTTGATGTATATAAAGCGACATCTATAACATTAAATAAATACGTTAGGGGGTTTAACGAGCTTCATGAAAAAACTTACCTTGCATATACTAAATCCAAAATAACTGTATAATACCAGCCTATATTATTATAATAGTCAACAGCGTCTTCTGCTAACACTTGAGGGAGACTTAATGACTCAAACCCGTTTAAATACTCACGCAATTGAACTTCGTTCATTGGAAATTTATTCAAATACAAAGGCCACAAACATCGCCAGACTTCATAGTATAACTCAATTAGAATAGTGCGGACAGAGCTTTTGCAATTTCGGTATCCTGCAGAAGAGCCAACAGCATATAAAGTAATTGCAATACGTATTTATAATTGAATTGCCTTCCGGTACTTAGTGTTTTTCCTCTCGTAACCTTTCAACATAATACACAATTTATTCAAAGATTAACGGTTAATTCGAAAGTTGCTTTTAAAAATACATATCAATTCACTTGGCAATCGACATTTGGCCACGAGTCTGCGTTATATACTCATTTTAATATAATAATAATACATATAATAGCAGTATTTATATACATACCTTTATCCATATAGACCTTGTTGAATTCGCTCCATATTGACTGTAGCTGTTTTGAGCAATGTGTGAGTCAGCAGCAAACGTTTCATTTCTAGATCATTTGTATTGAATGGAGAAAAAAAGGACATCGATATAACAAAGTACGACATTACAAAATGGTTTAATTAAATAAATATTAAACGATGTGAATTCTTGAATGTGAAAAACAGCTGTTTTATAAGTCTGCAAAGGCAGTGAAACCACCTTGATTAGTGAAGAGCTTAAATGTTGTATAATTACTTCAAATATTTGGTGGGAACATGTACAATATAAGACTTGTTTGAACTTTGAATAATTTTACATTTCACTTATTAGTGACATCAGTACATCATCATTTAGCGACAGCAAAGCTGCTGCCGTGAAGTCGTGCTGCTGTCTAAATAACTGTGCCCATAGTGTTAAAGACAGACATATGGTTTCCGTACTATTGTACAATATTAAGCAAGAAAGTGGATTCCATCTTAATTATAGCTGCAAACAAGATTAAATTATATGAAGAAGAAGAAATTTTTTTTTTTAAATAAAGAAAAGAAATTTGAAATGACACCGAACATACTGGTCTTTGGTAAGTACACAAATGCTTGTATTTAATGTATAAGGAGTTTTTGAATTTATAGGTGAAACACACTACATTTTGGGAACATGATGTTAGGCTTTTCACAAAGGAAAAGTATGTTTCGAATAAGCCGGGAGACTTTCTTCTATTTAGTGGATCATCTAAACAATGTGCCTTCTGGTGTAACGACATAGCTTTAAAATAACGAATTGCTGAGGCTTTATATACATTAGCCTCTTTTGCTGACTACAGAACGATTGGAGGTCTCTTTGGAGTGGGACGTTTGGATAGTTGTAAACGTTTGTAAGGAAATATACGAAGTGTTTCAAAACGAAGTGTTTGATGCATATCTTACGACTGACACGAAAGTTGATGAATTTAGACGTGGTTTTAATCGTTTGAGATTCCTTCAATGTTATGGCGCAATAGATGGTTGTCACATAGAAGTCAAGCCTCTAGAGAACGAAGCTTGCAATTATTTAAATTTTAAAGTATGGTATTCAACGGTTTTATTTGCATCGGCATATTAAATACACAGATTTACATATATTAATATGGGGATGCTATACAAATATTTTACATAAATCTGAAATGGATTGAACAAGTAAACACCAAAAATAGCGCAAGGCAGTCTCGTAGTAGCCATGCAGACAGACATGACATGGTATGATATCTTTTTAATTTCCGGCGTTTTTTCGGTTTTTATTTATTATAAATTTTTCACGTTTATATTGAATTTAAACATTTTTTGATATGTCAAAATGACGGAAAAGCTTAAAGCTTTGGGTGTGCTCAGTGCAATCGACCACATTGCACAACACTCTATAATTTCAATGATTTTTGAATATCATTGTGTTCTTTAAAAGAAAAATTTACTCTATACGTTTACTAATAACGTGTGTTTTTAATATTAATCAGATGCTGCCTGTCACTCGCCATAGTCTATGTGTTTAATACATTATGCGGGAATCAGTGACCCAAGAATGATAGAATAAAAGATTACTCCAACCACCATCTTCTGATGTAATTCTTTTGAGTTGAGAAGAAGAAGCATGGAATTGAAAACAAGAACGTAACCACATTTATGAATTCGTGAAATAGACTTACTTTATTAGTTTATAGTCAAAAAGTTTTAATGAAATTAATAAAATAATGCTGCAGGAAAATATTTTGGTAATTTTTTTATAAATACTTTTATCTATTGACAACATGTTGAATGATTAAAAGGGATTGTGACTGCAAAACTTTAAATAGTTGAAATAAATAATTGCATAAGTATTTGAAAGAAAACAAACACAGTGAATAAAACTTACAGATATATTGCTAAAGCTCGGTGCAAGCTGGTTAGTTAGTTTGTCAATTTTCCACATATGCAATATGCACAATTTCATGTTCAGAAAGCTTTTCTTTACTTCCCAATCGCAATATATACAATTTAGAACTTATACCAAACGCGTGTTTTATCTATGGAATTGTTTAAATTATTTTTTATTTAAATAAGTATCAAACAAGAGTTTGCTATATTTTACTCTGAACAGGGTACATTAAGTTTGCCACGGACTTTGTAACTCTTATAAGATCCTATAAAGTATATATATAAATTATTAGCGTGACGAGCTGAATCGATTTAGCCATGTCCGTCCGTCCGTCTATCTGTATATATGTTTGCTAGTGCGTCCTACAGCATATAGCTGCCATAAAAACTGACCGATCGAAATCAAGTTCTGGTATGGAATACATCTTCACAAAATTTGGCACGGATTATTGTTCAAAGCAACTCTTTAATTTATCGGACTACTTTAGTATATAGCTGCCATACAAACTGCAGCGGACTTGAACGATTTTTCTTGTTTTTAATCAAGTTCAATATTCTGAAACAAGCAGAAATGTTGAACATTCAAATACACATTTATTGATGCACAAGTATTTATATTTTTATATATACTTTCTAGGCATTACTGCACAATTCATTTGTATTTTATTGATTATAATTATATTATATTAAACATTCTGCATACATGCAGAAATGCGAAATACCCAAACGAACATTCAGGGTAAATTTACGAGCATGGGTATGTACGAACAGAGGAGATTCTCCAGATTAAGAATGTATATACATAATGTATATTTTTGAGATATTTGCATTTAAAGTTCAAAATTTTGGTCGGCTTTAGTATACCATCCTACGATTTCGTTCATGTATTTGGGTATAATCCTCTTCTATTATTCTTTTTAGTTTGTGTGCAAAATATATACATATATATATATACAAGGTGCGTTCCAAAGTAAACAGGACTTTAAAAAAAAAGACAGAACAAATGGTTTTATCGGCAAAATCAATTAATTTTATTCAAAATAGTCTCCTTCTGCTTTAATACAGCTTTTTGCATGGTCCAAAAGCATGTCAAACGAGTGTTTTAGCTGGTTGCCCGCTATGGCCGCCAGTATGTCGGTGCAAGCCTTTTGAATGGCCTCCACGTCTGCATAACGCTATCCTTTCATCGGCAAATGCATTTTTCACAAGCGTCGATCGATGAGACGGCGCATTATCGTGCAACAAACGCCAACTTCCATCTTCGCGATATTCGGGCCGAACACGTCGAATACGGCGCACCAAACGCTTCAAAACTCCAAGTAAGAATACCACCGGGTGGAACAAATTCTTTGTGGACAATACCCTTGGAATCATAAAAACAAATCAGCATTGTCTTCACTTTTGACTTGTCCAGGCGCGATTTTTTGGGTTTCGGCTTATTTCTCATTTATGTCCTCACGACCACTCTGAAAACGTTAAAACCAGTCGTGCATTCTGCTACGGGATAGGCAGTCATCGTCATAAACTTGTTTCATCAATTGAAACGTTTCGGTAAAAGTTTAACCAATTTAAAAAAAAAAAATTTTATGTTGGCTCTAAGTTCGAAGCTCATTTTCGCACAGATGACAAAAACATACTGACACTTAAAACGCAATAACTTCACTTCCATGTCATGTGAAATGTCATGAAATTTTTACTGGAAGTCGATAAAGGATAGCAGATTCTAACGCACTAGTCGACATATAGATGGCGCCAGTAGAGTTTACTTTGTTATTTTTTTACCGTTTACTTTGAAACGCCCCTTGTATAATAGAATGACACTTATCATTTGGCAACATGGAACCCATTTGGTACTGTGCCTATAACAAAAATTGTGTACAAAATAAAATGCTTATTTAAAGCAAATATGAAAATAATTGCTATAAAATTAATAAGTAGAAACAATGTAGTGAAGTGTTCGTGTAAAATAAGTGCATATAATAAATGAAAAATTAACTATAAATCGAGAAATTGCAAGATAAAATTTTCAATGGTATACTAAAGTTTCCCCTAATTTTCAATCAGGGAAATGTTTGGTGATGTTTCAACAGCAAATACTTCGATTACTTCTTTTGGTGGCGTTGAAGCAACATTTCCGACATGCAGAATCGACGTTCGACGTCTCTTAGCTTTAATTCATAAGGCACCCAATTTCCAAGCTTCTGGATGAATCCTAATGATTTTAATCGTCTGGAAACGGTTGCTTGATCAACTCCTAATACTTTTGCAAGTTCTTCTTGCGTCTGGCATGCATCTGCGTCGAACAATGTCTCCAATTCTTCGTCTTGAAATTCTGTCCGGGTCGTTCTCCGTCGTCTAAGCCAAAATTGCCAATTTTAAACCGTGCAAACCACTTTTGGCACGTTCGTTGGGCTAAAGCGTGGTCACCATAAATGTCCAGTAAAATACGATGGCTTTTGGTAGCACTTTTGTTCATGTTAAAGTAATGAAGAAGAACTCCCGACAGAAGAACTTTCGACATTTTCAAATGAATGAAAGAAATTGTTGTTCACGACATCTACTGAAAACGACAAATGACATCTACTGAAAACGACGAGAATTGACAGTACGAGATGAACACGACGCGAAATAATACTAGTAGGGCCCTCTTTTAGAAAACCGCACGAATTAATGCGAACCTTATAGGTCACGGATGCAATCGAAAGGAGTGCCCATCCCGGTCTGACTAGTCCCGTTTGATCATTTGGGTGGGGAAACAGACGATGGGTGAAGTGTGGTTGGTTAATTATATGTGGTTGTTTTGTTGGGTGATATGGATTCTTGTGTGTAGTGTTGCATTGTGTTGTATGATGTTGTACGGTGTTTTTAGTTACAAAATGTCGCGGGATTAGAAGTCGCATGAACATCCCGGCCCCTAGGTAAATTAATTGCCTAGAAGTCTCTGCAAGTAGTGCTCACTACGGTGTTCAATCTGGTTGCTCTTTGACGCTGGTTGCGATGACCATAGGGTGGTGGAGGTGGCCACGAGCGTGCCCCTCTGGATGTCTTCGGGCTATGTAATCTTCGACGCTGGACGGGATTTACTAATGGTCGAATTAGTATATCAGTTTGTGTTCGTACATCTACTATTCTTATGTGACCATCTCGTCCCCGATGGGCCTTTTCAATGCGGCCTAG